TTGTAAGTCCGGAGAAGGAGAGACAAAGCATCTAGGGGTTAAAAGCTTAAGTTGTTCAGAGACTGTTGTGAGTCTTTGAACGTGTAAGGCTAGTTAAACAAGTCAAGGTTTGTCTTGAGCTTGTATGTTTAATTGCTTTTATAAAGAACTTTGTGTACTTTTAAAAGAATTAATCTAGTCGTATTTCTTGTGAAGAATTTGACCCTGTACTACTGTGTGTTCTACTTGATATAGTTTGATTATCTTACATTAACATGTTCTACCGTCTCACGTATGGAGTAATTCTCTGGTGTTTTTTCTTTCTTCTGCAAATTGGTTCTCTGGTGGTTGTTTTTTTTTTAAATACTATGAACATATGTAATTAGAAGAACGAAGAAAGTAGTGGTAAAGATTGTGGTGTGATTCGTGCATAGGTAACCAGATGTTTGTTTGTTATTGTAAAAAATAAATTTGAGCAACTAAAAACAATTTACAAAAGTATTTTTTTTGAAGAAGACCGGTTCTGTTCCTAAGGCAAAAACTTAACCGGCCAAGCATCAAGTTCATGGGTCGAATTAAAAATGAGGGGCTAAAAAAAAGTCAAAACTCAAAAAGGGTTAGTTAAAAAGTCTGCGTCGAATCTCCCTATTAATAGCTGCCGCTTCTGCTTCACCAACTAAGCAAAAAAAGCTCATTTAAAACTTCACGGATCTTCGGTGAGCGATCATCACAAATCCCAGAGAAGACGAACACAGAAAATCTCAGTTGAATCAATAACCCTTTTCTTCATTCTCTCTGTTGCTGCCGCTTTTTACCAGTTAATTACTATGTCTGGTCAGTCCCTTTCTCCTTCTTCCTGTTTTCTCCGACATAACACATATTGTGAACCATTTGTGTTCTGTGTTGAATTATGCTTCAGGGTCTTTTTTTTTTCCGACATACCCAGATGATGAATCAGTTGTGTTCTGTCTCCGTCTGGTCATTGTTTTAAATTTTGATGTTGATTTTAGGATCATTTTATAGGGTTTATGATTTGGTGATTAATTAGGTTTATGCTTTAGGATTCGTTTTCCACTGAATAAAGTTGAAATTTCGGGTTAAATTTAATGGATTTACAGGTAATCAAGAACCAATCTTGGTGAAGGAAGAGAGCGTGGAAGGTATTCCATCTCCACTCTTGAAACTCAAAAGCTGGCAATGGTGGGCTCTTGTGTCCATCAACATCTTCTTTCTCATTGGTGGTCAAGCTGCTTCCGTCCTTCTTGGTAGGTTTTACTACGATCAAGGTGGAAACAGCAAATGGATGGCCACTCTTGTTCAAACCGCTGCTTTCCCCATCCTCTACATCCCTCTTCTCCTCCTTCCTTCTTCTTCTTCAGACCCTGCTTCTTGCTCCCTTAAAACCATCGTCTTAATCTATGTTCTGCTCGGTGTCATTATCGCTGGAGACAACATGCTCTACTCTGTTGGACTTCTCTACCTCTCTGCATCGACTTATTCACTCATCTGCGCTACCCAGTTAGCTTTTAATGCAGTCTTCTCTTATTTCATCAATGCACAGAAGTTCACTGCTTTGATTCTCAACTCAGTTGTGCTCCTCTCCTTCTCTGCTGCTTTGATTGCGCTTAACGACGACGCGGACGCCCCTTCTGGTGTCTCTAGGTCCAAGTACATTGTTGGGTTCGTGTGTACCCTCGCTGCATCGGCTCTCTACTCTCTACTGCTCTCCCTCATGCAGTTCTCCTTTGAGAAGATTCTGAAGAAAGAGACGTTTTCAGTGGTTCTCGAGATGCAAATCTACACTTGTCTAGTGGCGACCTGTGTCGCGGTTATCGGGCTTTTTGCTAGCGGGGAGTGGAGAACGCTGCACGGAGAAATGGAAGGGTATCATAAAGGTAAAGCCTCTTATGTACTGACTCTGGTTGGGACAGCAGTTACATGGCAAGTGTGTTCTGTAGGAGTTGTGGGTTTGATATTTCTGGTGACGTCGCTCTTCTCAAACGTTATTAGTACGCTCTCTTTGGCTGTGACACCACTCGCGGCTTTGGCTGTGTTCCATGATAAGATGAGTGGGGTTAAGGTTATGGCGATGCTGATCGCTCTTTGGGGTTTCTCTTCTTATGTTTACCAGAATCATCTCGATGACTTGAAAGTAAGACGAGCTAGAAAACAAGCTCAAACAGGGCAGAACCGAACCGGCGCGTGTTGAACCGGACTGGAGTAGGCGACGTGAAGATGAAGTTTAGTTTATTTTTATTTTATTGTTATTGGTTTTCTGCTTGTGGTCAAAGCTTGAGGATAACATAATTGAACAAACTGAAAGAAAATAAGAACACAATACTTTTTTTTTTATGAATTGGTATCAGAGCATTGCTCTCGATCCATTTTTTTTTTTCCTTCTCATGGGTTCCACTAAAGTAACGTCTCGAAGCTCTGGAATCTGGACTCGGTCCTGTACAAGACGAGCTTTCGAATCTGACAACTCGACTGGAAGATAAGTTCCAAGGTGTAGAAGCAATGTACAAGTCATTGGAGACAAGCTTTAACCACACGCTTGAAACCTCCATGGCTACTATGATGGAACTCATCGCTCAAATCCGCAAAGGAGAATCAAGCACCTCCACGGACAGCCACTAGATCATTTGATACAAAGGCCACTGACGGTTTTGGATTTGAACTTGTACTATATATATGATGTATTTATCATGAGGTCCAAATCTATAAAGGATATCGCCTTAGGCCCCCTATTTCTCAGGGCCGGCCCTGGTCACGAGAGTACATTAGTCACGATAATTGTTAAGGAGGTCGAGAATATACTACACCGACAAGGAACTCCTACGGTCATTCCATTTTCAAGAGGAGGCCAGTTTATGAATATTCTAGATTCGGGCTAGGGTCAAGGTGGATCTATCAAGAGAAAGTGATCTTGTGCACGAGAATGATGAGATCGTCGATAAAGAAAAAAGGTCATTAGTTAAGATGTTTAGCCCATCTTTTATTACATGTTCGGTAATAGTATGCGTATGGTTTTTATTTTTCTATTTTGAAAAAAATGATAAATTTTGAAGATAATGTACCAAACCAATATATACAATCATATATATATATATATAAGAAAAATTAGAAATAAAATTATCAATTAAAATTATATAATTAATAATTTAAATATTTTCGTGGAATCCATAAAAATGATGAAGGGACACCCTTAGGAGAGAGTAAACTCTTATTACAATATAAATTTGATGTCTTGCAATTTGATAGGTGTAAGATATATATTGTGAACCTAGTAGACATGAAAGTGTCTTTGTCGACAATATATAGCGTCACCACTCATAGAGAAACGTAAATCCAAATTGAGATTGCTATATTTCTTGGTTTTGATGATGTTTCGATTTATTTGTGGTCTAAATGGTATAAAGTCCAATTATGACTGAGTAATATATTCAAACCCGAAAAACATAAACAAATTCAATCCAAAAAGTCGTATCAAATCCGAACTAAAACGGTAAAATATCCATTCATATTCAAAAATTTTGTATTCGAAAAATCGAATCCAACCTGAAATAGAATAAATTGGATACTAAAAATTCTTGAATGATAGCTATGCATTTAAATATATTAATTATTTTAGACCTAGTATCTAAAGAGTTTAAAAATTTTCAGAATCATCCTAGATACTTGGAACCAGCCAAAAATAATTTTCAAAATTATTAAAACATTATTCAAAATACAAAATACGCAACATACCTTCTAATTATCCAACTATATAAAAATTACCAATTTTCATTTTTATTTTAGGTATTCATTATATATTATTTAAATTTATATGCTATATATTATTATTTGTTTTTGTATTTTAAGAATTTGAATGTATACTTGGATTTTTGAGTTTCATTACATAATTTAAATAGATGCATGGACTCAGATCCAACCCACAAAGATCAAAATTGAACTGAAATTTATGAATATTCTAATTAACCTTAAATCTCTAGTCCAAAAACTTGAAATCAGAATAGAACAAAACTGAAGTTGAATGGATATCCGAACATCCGTCCTTAAGTCCAGCTATATGAAATCTCATTTTACTTTATGTAACTGAAATAAATAAATTAAAAATACAATAATTAAATATTTATAGATTTTTGTGACTGTAAAGTTCCAGCTATATAATTGGAGCTAGAAATATATAAACATAAATGAATAAATTCTATGTTTTAAACTAAAAATAAAGCCCCAGTTGTATTTTTACAAAGTGAATAAGTGATGAATGTAGAAGTTAGATTATATTATACATACGGTTGTTTTTCAATATATTTAGTGCTGAAATTGGAATCATATATAGAAGTTTTGTTTTTTTGTTCAAAGTAGCTTTATTGTAAATAAACTAATTTGGTAAGGTATTTTTTTGTCAGCTTTGTAAAGTTCTTTTAAGGTAGTTCAAACTAACTACAATTTAATAAGAGGTCCACTTGTAAAATAATACTAACAATAGTCAAAAATCCAAGGATATTGATTGAAAATATAGAAAGTATTCAATGCTCTAAAAGGTAATTCAAGATTTTTTACCAATAACTCTAAGTATGTATCTATGCAAAATTGACTTACTTAAACTACACTTTAATATGATGACGAGGTTCAATGAAAACTCTTCACACATTCACTACTATAAATACATAAAGAAATAACTGAAACAAATCATACAGTAACTTGAAAACATAAACACAAAAGCAAAGAAAAAATGGGTAGGAGAAAGATTAAGATGGAGAAAGTGCAAGACACAAACACAAAGCAGGTCACGTTTTCAAAACGTAGATCGGGTTTGTTCAAGAAAGCTGCTGAGATTGCGACTCTGTGCAACGCTGAGGTTGGTATACTTGTATTCTCTCCTGGAAACAAACCTTATGCCTACGGGAGACCGAGTTTTGATTTGGTTGCAGAACGTTATAACAACGAATCCGAAGACTCAGATACCGGTGAACCATCAAGCAATGGTAGAGGCAACAGAGCTAGACACGAGAAGAGGATATGTAAACGCCTCAACTCGATCATGGAACAAGTTGAAGCTGTGAAGAAAAGAGGCGAAGATTTTCAGAATCAGCTTGAAACTGCTGGAGAAGAGAAGTTTGACAAGCCCATTGAGGAGCTTTCTCTTGAGGAACTCAAGGAATATGAAGATAAGATGATGAACATGCATGGTATGATTCAAAGTAACATTAGTCAAATGCAAGTTTCGTCTACTCTCATGCTTCTCTCTATTGACACTCAAAATAACTAGAAAGATGTCGTTAGAACATTAGTTCTGTGTTGTTGCTGATCTTTAAAGTCTTTGTTTCATTTAGTTTATGTTAAGACATGTAATAACTAGTTATGATCTATTGGTTGTAACTTTTGGTTTGTTGGAGGCAATCAGATAATCATATTATGAAGACTAAATTCATGAACACAACTGTCTAAAAGCCTTTCAGCGAAAGGAGAAGAAGTATATTAACTTAAACAAAGATTATATTTCCTCGAAAAGATAAAATAAAATTACAAAACAAAAGGAATAATCAATAAAAAACAAAACCTCAAAAGAGGATTTGGACAAACAGTGAGTATGAAGATGGACCTCATGTACAGAGGAAGAGAGATTTCATTTTTAAAATATATAGTGCTTTTATTAATATATTAATATTAATAAATAGTTTAATTAATTTTAAAATATATATTGTGTTGTTTGTGATTATGTTTCAAAAAAAAAAAAAAATTAATATCAAGATTTTTTTTGGAGCTTTTGTTTTTGTTTTTAATAAAATAACATTATATATAGCATATCCTTTCGTGTTCATATATGTATAAAAGTATGTTTTCATAAAATAATTTCTTTCCTTTTTTAAATATATATTTTTTTATTTTATGAGTATTTTCTTTTTATTCTATATTTTATTTGTGAATATTAGGAAAAAATAAACAAAAAATAATTTTTTATTCAGAGAAATTATTAACTATTTTGTAATATTGAAAATTATATATAATATTTTTAATTCATTAAGGGTGTCTTTATAATCAGTCATTATAAGAATTAATGTGAACACAACACGTATGAAACTTACTTATTAAATAATAATTTTTTCGTTTTTATTTTATAAGTATTTCCTTTTATTATACATGTTATTTGGAAAATATAAGGAAAATAAATTAAAAATATTTTTTACTTAAAGAATTTCTTAACTATTTTTTTAATAATGGAAATTAGGTATAATATTATTTGTTCATTAAGGGTGTATTTGTAATCGGTCATCGTAAGAATTAACGTGAACACGACACATATGAAACTAACTTCTCAAATAATAAGTTTTTTTTTTTTTTTCTGAGTATTTCCTTTTTATTATACATGTTATTTGGAAAATAAACTAAAAATAATTTATTTTATTAAAAGAATTTCTTAACTATTTTTAATAATGGAATTTAAATATAATATTTTAATTAACTAAGGGTGACATTGTAATGACCATGGTAAGAATTAACGTGAACATGACACATAGGAAACTGACTTCTCAAATAATATTATAGAGATATAATTGTTTTTCCAGTAATATTTAATTCTTCAAATTGAATCATATAAATAATGTTTTTTTTTGTTTAAACTAGCTTTATTATTTTTGGGTTGTAAAAATCTAATTTGGTAAGAAGGTATTTTTGTCAGCTTTGTAAATTTCTTTTAAGATAGTCCAAACTACCATTCAATAAAAAGGTCCACTTGTAAAATAATACTAACAATAGTCAAAAATCCAAGGATAATGATTGAATATATAGAAAATATTCAATGCTCTAAAAGGTAATTCAAGATTTTTTACCAATGACTGTAAGTATGTATCTAAGCAAAATTGACTTACTTAAACTACACTTGAATATGATGATGATGTTCAATGAAAACCCTTCACACATTCACTACTATAAATACATAAAGAAATAACTGAAACAAATCATACACTAACTTGAAAACATAAAAAAAAAAACAGACCAAAATATGGGTAGGAGAAAGATTAAGATGGAGAAAGTGCAAGACACAAACACAAAGCAAGTCACGTTTTCAAAACGTAGATCGGGTTTGTTCAAGAAAGCTGCTGAGCTTGCGACTCTGTGCAATGCCGAGGTTGGTATACTTGTATTCTCACCTGGAAACAAACCGTACCCCTATGGGAGCCCGTGTTTTGATTTGGTTGCAGAACGTTATAACAACGAATCCGAAGACTCAGATAGCTGTGAAACATCAGGTAATGGTAGACGTAACAGAGCTAGACAAGAGAAGAGGATATGTAACCGTCTGAACTCGATCATGGAACAAGTTGAAGCTGAGAAGAAAAGAGGCGAAGATCTTCAGAATCAGCTTGAAACTGCTGGAGAAGAGAAGTTTGACAAGCCCATTGAGGATCTTTCTCTCGAGGAGCTCAAAGAATATGAAGATAAGATGATGAACATGCATGGTATGATTCAAAGTAACATTAGTCAAATGCAAGTTTCGTCTACTCTCATGCTTCTCTCTATGGACACTCAAAATAATTAGACGGATATAGTTAGAACATTCGTTCTATGTTGTTACTGATCTTTGAAGTCTTTGTTTCATTTAGTTTATGTTTATGTTAAGACATGTAATAACTGGTTATGATCTATTGGTTGTAACTTTTGGTTTGTTGGAGACAGATCTTATTATGAAGACTAAATTCATGAACAAAATGTCTAAACGCCTTTCAGCGAATGGAGAAGGAAGTTATATTAACTTAAACAAAGATTATATTTCCTCGAAAAGATAAAATAAAATTACAAAACAAAAGGAATAATCAATAAAAAGCAAAACCTCAAAAGAGGATTTGGACAAACAGTGAGTATGAAGATGAACCTCATTTACAGAGGAAGAGAGAAGAGAGATTTTCATGTTCATAATTCTCGTTTCAGTATAACACTAATGATCCCTATTTGCGATTTTGGCTGGTAATGCTCATCTGTATCCACTTCCTCAATCTCCTGTAATAATATGATTCAACCGTTAAAACACATGAACCAAACCATAAAAGCTGAACATATATGTGTGTGTTTGTTGGATCAAACCTGTACTACATCCTCTCCCTTAAGAACTCTTCCAAACACTATAAGCTGATCATTCAGATCCGGGATTGGAGCCGTTGTGATCAGAAGCTCGAAGTCCTTGTTGTTGTTCCCTTTGGTTTTTGGTGTGCCCAACATGAATGCCTCATGTTTTGGGCTGAATAACAACATCACACAGGTTTGGTTTTGATCTTAAAAAAAAAGACAGATGTGGAGAGTTTACTCTTAAAGCAAATTACCTAGTGTTAAGGCGACCACGAAGCTTTCCTTTAGCTGTCCATTCTTCAACAGGTATGGAGCTCGGGGAGTGACCAGCTTGGACTAGGTAGTTTTTTATAACGCGCTGAAACGGCATTCCCTTGAAGTGATCTTTTTGGCTGCAACAAATACTCAGTGTATTACAGACTTAAGCTAGAATAGTGTTACATAATGATTCAGCTTGTTTCTATTTTGTGAGGTTTAATGTTCCAATGCTAGGACTTATGATTCAAAGTCGTTCAATGAAAAGAAACTCACAAAACCTATCATGGTAGATGTAATTGTCTCAGTTGAGAACAAGTCATGACTAAGCTTAATCAACTTCATATATTTTTCTTTTCTTCCTAGCTAGAAAAAGAAGAAACAAATTCGGATACTAACCATAGATCTAGAAACCTGTCGACAGCTTCAGGCGAAGCATCTTTAAAGAGCTCCACAGTTATGAGACCTTTTGATGTACTTATATCCTACATAAACAAAATACATCAATGAAACTGTATACATCCAGGAGACAAAACAGATGACGTTTTACTATTATAAGCATCTTTGAATAAAAACATAATACCAAGGTGAGAAATAAGAACAATGACTAAACAAGAAAATTAAAAAAAAAAAAAAGTAAACAGGGAGATAGATTAACTTACGGCATAACCAGGGAGATCGTAACTCTTTTGTTCTGATACAGCATTTGTGTCCTGAAACACAAGCACAAAGCCAGATCATGCATGTATATATATATCCCAAAATTCCAAATCCTAAGCGCTCAGAAGTTCATTGCTATCAAAAACACAAAGCTAAATAAATACTCTCAAAACAGTACCTCAAATCTATGATTCTGGGTTTCAATTGTATTTCTTGACCTGCGAGATCACAAGACAGCAACTTCTAGTTATAAGAAAAGCAACACAATTTCAAAGATGTGAACAAACAAACAAACAAACAAACCTTTGGGACCAGTGACGATAAGTAGTGACCAAAGATAGTATGACTACAGCAACTACAAGATTACACACGACAATCGTGGAGATACTTATACGACTTGGACCTTTCTTCTTCTTGCTTTGATTAAGTAGAGCTTGAGGTTTTATCCTCGCCATTGCTAAACCTTAATTCCACAGCAAACGACTAATACAAACTGTATATGCAAAAAACCACAAATCAACATTAAAGTTAAACTTAATCAAATACACACAAAGCTCCAAATTCAAAGCCTTATCAGGATCTATAATTCGATTTACAAGTTGGTAAAATCAAAACTGCATAAAAGATTGGATGGTTCTCACTTCTCAGCTCAACAAACCGTAATAATACCATACTAAATATTGATCCGATTCAGAAACTAACATATGTTTTTTTATACAAATCAACGCTTAAAGAGAGCTCCTCTCTTCACTTACGATTCCGATACAGCACAGATCGAGAATTTGATCAAATCATAAATTATCAAACGGATAACAACAAAAACGTACCTTAGAAAGAACAAAGAGCTTTAAGGACAGAGGAACCGTGGGGGAGATTGGTCGCTTCGTATCGTTGTCGATGGAAACTGGTTTTGAATTCTCTCTGTTTTTTTGCTTTTGGCAGGAGACGCTTCAGATCACAGCCGCGTGTTATCCGACGGCTGCAATTCCACCTCATCAAACGACGAATATTATTAATATTACGAATTGTCTTTTCTTCCATTTATATTCTTTTATTTTATTTTACTTCAGAAACAAAAAAAAAAAGAGTCAATTATTGGTCGGGTTTATAAAAGTTAAACCGGTTATCGAAGTTTGATATTCAATAATACTTAATGCAAGACTGTACCATGAAACTACTCTATTGTTTTGGTTATCACTATAACCATACACTCTAGTTCAGAAAGCTGGTTTGATCTTAGGCTACATCGTTTTGATTTTACTTGGTCAAAGTCAAACTAAGCCTTTTTTTTGTTTTTTGTCACTGAGTCAAACTAAGCCTTAAGTTAAAACAAAAGAAAATGCAAAATAACTTGAAATCCAAGTCAGAGTCAATTGTTCGGTTTTGCGACTTATCAGACCAAAAGCTACTTTATTTGATGTTTTTGGGGGTATCGCCAACCATAAACCGTAGTTATATTTGATTTAGAATTAGCCAAACCAATTTGATAGTTTGCTAGCTTGCACACCATCGCCTCTTCCTAACCGGTCTCATTTGATTGGTAACATCGGTTTGGGCTTCCTGTTCGGTTTGAGAATGAAATTTGGCTGCTGCTACCAATGCCGTTTCCTTGAACCTCTCTCTTCGTTTCTCCATCTTCTTAATGCTCTCTTGTATCTGTTCCTCATCTATTACAATCCTTGTCACCTTCTTCTCTTCTTCTTCTTGTATGATCTCACCGTCCTCTTTCTCATTCAAACCTTGAATCTGCACAACAGCTTTCTCGTTTCTTTTGCCCATTACATTTCTTGGTTTCTGACGGTCTTCCTGTTCTGTTGTTGTATCTCCACCTTTGGGGAATCTTCTTCTTGATTGGTTAGAGACCTGAAACCCACAGACAACAACAGCAGCAGAGAAATCACATGAGAAAGGTCATCTTCATGTCACACATATTTAATCATATAAATCGAAACATAAAAGAGGGTAGAGGAATCAACTATTGTCTATGTATGACTTATACTTGATAAATGTATGTATGACTTGGTTTCATTATATTTTTTTACCTTCCCTTGTCTACCAGTTAAGTCAACTGGATCCTGACACTTGATGAAACCATGCACACCTCTTCTCAGCTTTTTGGATCTGTGATGCCTTTCATCAGTTTCATGAACATGGTGGCTCTTAAGATATCCAGGTCTTTGCTTGATAGAGATTTGATCATGTGTTGACACTCTCATGTCAGGGAGTAACATCTCATCAGTATATGATGGATGCTCAGAACATTGAATGTCATCTCCGAACTGATATCTCCTTCTATCACGACGAACCCAATCATCATCATCATACCTTAGCCTGTCTTGTATGCTCACGTTATCGCTATGAACAAGATTCCTAGTCCAACCATCTCTTGGTGCATCCTTATACAACTGATTATTCTGCCTGTCATATGCTTCCCTTGTTGTGAAGTCTCTGGTATAATCTCTCCAAGAATCACCTCTCGATCCTTTTGTCTGCCAAGAATCTCTGAATGGTAAAGACCGCGAGGGCCAATCATCTTGGATTCTGTACTTATGACCATCATTCTCTGAGACAAATCTATCATGATGCCATCCAGGTGTGTAATGGTGTCTTCTTTCTATTTCAGAGAATTCATCTTCATACCTTTCAAATTCTCTCCTTCCCACTTCAGCAAAAGAATGCATCTCCCTGTAAGCCAGATCAAATGGAATTCCACTTTCTGCCCTGTGAACTTCATCTTCATATCTACCACGAGGAACATCATAATTGTAGTCACACCTTCTTGTAAAGTGAAGATCATCCTCGCGACTTTGATTGGGGTTAGGTCTTCCATATGTAGTAGAGTACTCAAACCGGTACCTATATTCCATGTTAGTTATTGGAATACGGTCCTGATAATAAGGTTCTCCAACCCCATCATATCGATTTCTTTCTTTGTTGCCTTCATAGGCTAAACCAGGACTTCTTTCACGGCTATATTTTCTTTCACAGTGTTGCCTACCATATCTATCCTCTTTGTTTCTTTCATAGGCTAGGGTAGGACTTCTTTCACGGCCATATCTTCTTTCACAATGTTGCCTACCGTATCTATCCTCCTCTTTGTTAAAACTCAATCGAGAATTTCTCTGGTTAAGATTGCAGGATGAGCCTGAGGTATAACCTTTACGACCCTCTTCATACTTGTGACCATTAGAAGGATCAAAGCTCCGGCCATGTGATGGTTCTTTGTTGTTGCGCCACCCTAACCTTCGCTCTCTATCTCGATCAAGATCCACAGGTGAATATGAACGACCATGACGTTTTTCTCTATTTGAATGCGGAAAGCCTCTACCTTCAGTCTCAACCTTTTCTAATGTAAACCGTGGTCCGTTCTGCCAGTTTTTGCTCCAACCACGATCCAAACTTCTACGTCCAGAATACACTCTCTTGCCAAGATCTGGATCTGGTGTAGGCGATGCATCTGCATGCCTTGTTCTCCTATGTACACCATAGTCAACTCTCCCATAATGCCTTTTGCGTGAGTCTTCGTGGGATCTTCTGTGTCTAGAATGCTCTGAACTACTACTCTCCCCACTTTTGGTACTGTTTGCTTCATGTTCCGCAAATCTTGTTCTTCGTGGTGGGGTACTGGCTTCACTTTGGTCATCAGTAGCACCGCCTTTTGATGATTCTGTTCCGGAATCTTCGGATTCCTCAGTTTTACCAACAGAATATGAAGAAGTAGGGCTACAACGAAAGTGGTCTCTAAGAGAAGCTTCCCTTTCCACTGAGGATGAATCCGCCTTATCAGAACTCCAACAAGTCTCTCTCTCCTCTTCAGTAATTTCCTTATCACAAGGTGTTACTTCCCTGCTGCAGCAATTTCCTTTTGGAGGAGATTGCTCGCCTCTGAAACTTCCACTGTTTTCGTCTTCACGCCCAACAGAAACCTCTTGTTTTCTCGAATCCCCAGATGAATGCAAATCTTCTCCAACATCCGAATGAAACTCCTCACTTCTAGATGCTTTATTTGATGTTTTGCTGAGAGACCTTGCTTCCACAGGTGCCATGCTTGATAGCTCCTCAACATCATCAGTCACTGGAATCTGGTTTCACACATTCCACCATTAACGAAATATAAGGGAAACAAAAAACTTAACAAAACAAGAATCATTCAGTCTCTGACTGACCTGTATCACCACGTCAGAGTCAAAACCACGTGGATGACGCAATTCTACAGACGGTGTGCGTCCATGAGTTCCACATTCAACCTCAATTGCTCTTCCTTTTACCTAAAACAGAAAAAAAAAAAAACTCATCATAATCAAACCAAAATACGCCCACTTTCCACAAAGAATAAACACATCAAGAATCAAAACATGTTAACTCACCAACGGGTTACAATAATCTTTCCAGCTTTGCTCATTAAACCCAAAATTAAAGAAGTCATTGACATCCACACCAGGATTCCTCCACGGCTTCTTCTCAAACCCATTGAAATTTGCATCAAAACTCGTCCTGCGAACAAAACAAAAAAACACATTCACCATTCTCCATCTCAATAACTCACTTCCAATAAAGCTATAGAATCAAAAAGTGGTAGCCCTGACCACTACCACTAACCTTGACCAAGTATGTGAAAAATTATACCCACACTGAGGCATCATCATTCCTAGAGACGGATTCATAACTTCCATTCCCATACTTCCATTAACCATCCCACTATTTGGCATTGTACACTTAAATAAGAACACGTCACAACACACAAGATTACATCAGATAAATAAACCACAATCACCACCAAAATCAAAACCCTAGACATTGACACACACACTTACCCAGCTTCCACTACTCCGATTCTGATTATAAACAGGAAGAGCTTTCGAATCGTCTTCTTTCAACACTATATTCAAATCATCATCGTCACTACTGTCACTGTATTCCGATTCTTCCTTCGCCTCGGTACGATCGACACGCGGACTCGAATCGTTATCCTCCACCGTCACGTCGAGTTTCTTCGCTTCGCCACGCGATTGAGATTCTAGTGTCACTTCGAAACCCTTGTTCTCGCCGGAAATCGGAGGACACTCAGGTTCTTCGCCATCGCCGGCGAAGGAAGCAGTGGCGTGAGGCTTCTTGTCATCGACGTATAGCTCACCGAAATCGTCGTCAGTGGAATCCATTCGCAGGGGGTTAGAATCAATGGAATCTATTTCATGATGCGAGAGAATTTAGTGAGAGAGGAGTTGCATAAACCCACCTTAAACCCTAACACGGCCCATTAATACTCAGTTTTCTTAATCTTAAATTAGTAACAAAAAGATTATAAATAACTAATTTTTATCTTAATAATATGACTATGAATTTGTATGTTTGTTAAATTTACATCTTCTTTTTGTTGTTGTTACAGTTATTATTCATTACAATTAGGGAGAATTATTTAATTAACTTATATCCATAATTAAATCCAAAAATCACTCTTCCTTTCTTACAGATTTTACAATTTTCAAGATTTTTTTTTTTATTTCAAGTTATTTTAAAATTTTAGAAGAATTATTTGATATTTTTTTGGAATCTCAATATAATCTCTCATTTAGATCTTTTGAATGGATGACTCATTTTCCTCCCATGATAAGGTTTTAACTTTGTAGTTTTTTTTTTTTTTTCAAATTTTGTTGTGTATTCTATGGACTAAGGATACCAAAGACTTTTATTTGCTGTCATAAAAAAAAAAAAACTGAACGGAAAATCTGCTACCTAGTAGAACATGATATCAGCAAGAAGAAGAATGATGATTTTTTCAATTATAAAAATGTGGGAGTTAGTTGCTGATATTCTGGCTAACATGTATGAGTCTTGAAATGCTAATGTCATGCTGGAGTTGAAACGGTGCACTCGCCTGATGAAATTTATTTTATTTTATTTGTCACACTCCTTTGCTATATTATTTTCTAATAGATTAGTAAGCTGGCTATATTTAATGTTCACGCATGCAGGGTTAGAACACCATCAGTATACTGATTGTAATTTTTGTTTTTGTCTGCCTAACCAACTAAAATGTTCACTAGTATTTATTTTCGATTGCTAATACGGGAATTATGTTCTCCCTCTCTCTAAGGTTCGCTTTAACTCGCAATGGAGACTCCACCAACGAAGGAGCTGCTGATGAAGATGCTAGAGATCGAGAAGAGTCAAGAGCGTCTAAAGCAGGAGATGTGTAGGCTCAAGGCCATATCCACAGAACATGGTCATTCAGTGTCGCCGGCAAAAAAGACAAACATCGGCCAGGGAGTTCTAGCGTTGAGGAAGAGCTGCGCCGAGTCGTTGAGGAAGGAGAGCCGTATCCAGGGTACGGTTAGTCTGAGAGCTGGAGTAGGTGGAGGAACAAGACCATCGGCAGGGAAGTTCACCCATCAACAGTATTTGAACATGTTGCAGTCGATGGGCCAATCTGTTCATGTCTTTGATCTCAAAATGAGAATTATCTTTTGGTGAGTAAAAGAGGCTAATGAAATTTGGATTTAGTAAAAAAAAATTTATTAAAATTTTGGTTTAATAGTTTAGGGTCTGGCTAATGTTTATACATAGTAGTTCTTAAAAGCCATTTGGTTCGAATCCCAGCTGGGAAATTAAAATTTCGGCATTTCCAGGTAAGACACATAGGACAAAAATATAGGTTGATAACATGTGTCTGATATATTTCGACGGAGACCAGGATACCCTTGTATAATTAAAAAAAAAAAAAAAGACATAGATTTAGCTAATGTTTCATTACGCTATGTTCATGACCGGTTTTGACTGAATAGTAGTAAGTATGGCTCATGATTGCTTCATTGACATGGTTCCAGGAATGCCATGGCGGAAAAGCAATTTGGATACTCAGCTGCAGAAGCAGTTGGGCAGAATCCAATTAATGTTATGGTAGATGATCATGATGCTGCCTTTGCGATGACCATAGCTCAACGTTGTTTCAATGGAGAGACCTGGACCGGTGAGTTTCCTGTCAAGAACAAATCAGGGCAGAGATTTTCAGCTGTCACTACGTGTTCCTCATTTTACGATGATGCTGGTTCTCTTATTGGAATCATTTCTCTTACAAGTAAATCAGCACCATATCTGCATCCCAAGGTCTCTTTGGCTAAGTTAAAATCAAAAGAAGGTGAAACAAACTCTAAAGGAGCTGTTTTATCGAAACTTGGACTTGACTCTCATCAACCTATACAAGCTGCTATAGCATCAAAGATATCAGATTTGGTTAGAACCATTTTTGTAGGTTGTATGGATTCTGTCACCTTTCTATTTTGATATTGTAAATTTTGATGACTAGTGTTAAAACTCACAGGCATGCAAGGTGAGCAACAAGGTCAGGTCGAAAATGGTAGCAGGTGAGAGCATACAAAGAGGGGATTTTGTATATTCTCCTCCTTTTGGTGTATTCACATGTGATGAGAGTATTCTTACCTCAAAAGCTGAGCATGAAGTTTCAAAAGGAAGACCAGTATGGCCTCATGTACATAATAATCAAGAGAAACATAAGTCTCACAAGTTTAATCCATATTCTGATGTTAAATTTGAAAGTGATTCTTCTGATAGTAATAAGCCTAGCAGTACAATGTCTTCAAACAGCATAAGCAGTTCTAGTAGCTGCAGAAGTACAAGCAAGGTTGATACAAATAGCGATTGCTTGGAATATGAAATTTTATGGGATGATTTGACAATAGGAGAAGAAATTGGAAAAGGTAAGTTATATACTTAAACAAATTAAGTTGTTACAAATTGTACTAACTTTACGTGATATCATGTCTCTGTTCTGCTAACATGCTCAGGGTATATTATATTTTACAGGTTCGTGTGGAACTGTCTATCGCGGTCTCTGGTTGGGATCTGTAGGTTCTTTTGGCTTCTGGTGATAGAATATGCATTTGTTGATTCATTCACGTTTCCGTTGTAAAAAAAAACAGAACAAAATTTCCAAGTTAAGAGATCTGATCTTGTGAGAATTGTTAATTTCCTTGCAGGTAGTAGCTGTTAAAGTGTTCTCCAAAGAAGAACATCCAGAAGAAGTCATACAATCTTTTAGACAAGAGGTATGTATTGTTTGTTTTTAATCTGTTGTCCATAATAATTTGTTGCTAGCATGACCGTCTCGAATTATATTAGGGTCCTGTTCAAAAAACGTTAACTATATATTTTATAATGTAATAAATAATTTTAAAGTTTATATCTTTGTATATATATTTGTGGTTTTCTTTAAATTATAAACTATAAACTAGAGTTTGATCCGTGCGCCCGCACGGGTTTTTATTTCTAGGTACTTTTAAGTTTTACAAACTTATCTAGGCTAGAAGGATTCGATTTGAATTTCGATCCGAAACTTGTAACATCCGAATGAATTTTAATTTTCAAACCAAAAAGCTGATATCTAAAAAACTGATTTGTACTCAACTGAATACTTGAATGTCCATGTATAACTGATTATGTAACAAATAAAAAAATTTGTTAACAGGTTTAAATTTTTGTTACGAATGAAGCAATTTATTCATACATGTGAAATTATTATTGCTAATATATAAAAATAAATGATGTTAATTATTATAGTAAATACAATTAATGATATAATTGGAGGGTGATAGAACACTTTAAAAATAAGTAAGTTATTTCTTATACTTTTTAATAAATATTGTTGAATAAATTAGAAAAGATAATAATGAAATGGTTATAATTAGTTAAAAGGAAACTAAAATATGTAAATATTAAGAAAAAACTTAAAATAGATAAGTATTATTTTTTACTTCAATTTTAGTTTAGTAAAATAAATATTGATTNGTAAATATTAAGAAAAAACTTAAAATAGATAAGTATTATTTTTTACTTCAATTTTAGTTTAGTAAAATAAATATTGATTTTAAAACATGTATGGTTTTTTTAAATGTTAAGTGATTTAATTGGGATACGAATTTATTAGTTTAGATTTGGTGGGAAAAAAGATATCTTTGTATATTAACTAACCAATTTACAATTTTCAGTATACTTTGAGTATAATACAAAAGTGTTCATGGAAATCTTGGATTTGATTCTATTGAGAAAATTAAATTGAGAAATAATCTAAACCAATTGTTTACGTGTTTCAAAACCAATCGGTATATAAAATATTTAAGTGTGCCCTTAATAGATTAATCGGATTGTGTAGATAATAATAATTAAAACTGAAATATAATTGGCTATTAAATTAGTTTTACTATATTCTTTGTGGTCTACTGCTTTATAATGGCTTGTTCAAAGAACGATGTTATATAATGGATCGATTTGTTGTGGTGCGTTTTACAAACTTTGTATACAAAAGTAGTCAATTTAATTTTGGAAATGTTGGATTTGATTATGTTGCAACACTAAACCAAGAAATAATCTAAACCAATTGTGTACGTATTCCAGAACTAAATGTTATATATATAAGTATTTAATTGAATTTTAGATAGAAACAGGTATTCGGATTGGTTAGATAAATAATAAGTGCATCACATTAAAATTTGGTCAGATATGGAAAATATATATAATTTTGCTGGTAAGTGAGAATTAAAAGCAATGGCATCCCATTGCTATTTTGTGAAGAAACTAAAACGGATTAAAATTAGTAATTATATCTATATTANTCGGATTGGTTAGATAAATAATAAGTGCATCACATTAAAATTTGGTCAGATATGGAAAATATATATAATTTTGCTGGTAAGTGAGAATTAAAAGCAATGGCATCCCATTGCTATTTTGTGAAGAAACTAAAACGGATTAAAATTAGTAATTATATCTATATTATAAACTAACATTTATTTTTTGACAAAAATATATTTTTAAATATTTATTAAATCCCAAATATTAAAAAGGAGTTAAATTGATTGTATATATTAATATATGTATTAAATGTGTTTTACTCATATACATGAATAATAGTATGATTCATGTACAAAATTGTAAATATTTTTTAAATTTAGTTCGTCTATATTATAAAAATGGATTATTTATTATGTACTATATTTGTTTTACATTTACAAAGTTGAAATGATGTTTAGGAGTTAATCACGCATAGGATCTACGTGATCTATATATTTCGAAAATAATAATGGCAAGGTGGTTTATTTAAATGAGAATAAAGTATTAATAATGTTTTAGATTTATATGGCAATATAGTTCTAATTATAGCAAAATATATGGCAAGATAATAAAGTACTAATACGTTTTGATTTATATGGCAATATTGTTTTAATTAAAGCGAAATATATGTGAGAAAATCAAGTTTTGGATTTGGAGTAATAGATATTATTAGTGTATTTGCTATATTTTAATAGATAATCTTTAATTAAAAGGAATGGCATTAGATGGTAATTATTGAGGAAAACTCAGGGTTAAGTACAAAATGTACTTCACTTTTAATAGATTAGATTTAAAAAGAGTGTATACAAGTTTGATATTTTAAACTATATTTATATATTTATTTTTGAAAATTTCTTAATATATATATTTTTTTAGATTTGGACCATGTTTGACCTTTTCAGTAGAATATAATGTTAGACGGCCCTGGTTGCTATAAGTGTAGTTTTTAACCAAACACTGTTAACAAATTCATTAGTTTTTAGTAAAAAGAAACATTTACAAGTTAGAGCCCTTAAAGTTATTAGTTACTAATTTTAATCTTCTTTTATCTTGAAGGTATCTATGATGAAAAGACTTAGACATCCTAATGTGTTGCTGTTCATGGGAGCTGTGACGTCACCTCAGCGTCTCTGTATAGTGTCAGAGCTCCTTCCACGGTTTGGTCACATCTCTTTCTGTTAATACCTTTACTTTCTTTATGTTGTTGGACCGTCTTAGCGCTGATTCATGACTCTGGTTATTCAAATTACTCTTTGCAGTGGAAGCCTCTTCCAGCTACTACAGAGGAAGATGTCAAAACTGGATTGGAGGCGACGTATCCTTATGGCCTTGGACATTGTGAGAAGTAGTTATATATACACTCATTAGACATCTGATTTTCACATTTCTATGGCCATTGACAATAATTACTTGTAGACAAGTTTGTATGTATGTGCTAGTGCTACTCTATTTGATTAATTATTTTGCATTGTGAATATTTGACTCAGTCACCTTATTTAAACAGGCTCATGGTATGAATTATCTACACTGTTGTAGTCCACCTATTGTCCATCGTGATCTCAAGTCGTCAAATCTGCTGGTAGACAGGAACTTGACCGTTAAGGTAACATGTTCATCTTTGGTATAAGTTTTACATCTCCAAACTGGAACTAGAATCAACTTTACAGTGACATCTCCAACAGGTAGCTGACTTTGGTCTTTCACGTGTCAAGCATGAGACATACTTAACCACTAAGTTCGGGAAGGGAACGGTATTTTAAACCTATGCTCTTTTTGATTCGAGTCTTGATTTATAGTCAACATCTCATAAATGATTTTTTGATTAGCTTTTTTACATGTTCTGCAGCCTCAGTGGATGGCACCAGAAGTTCTTCGAAATGAGTCTGCTGATGAGAAGTATATTCTAGTCTTTTGTTTGGTTAAGTTCCCTTGATTATCAATGCTAACTAGCTCTTCTTAATTCATTGATACAGGTCTGATATTTACAGCTTTGGAGTAGTACTTTGGGAGCTTGCCACCGAGAAGATCCCATGGGAAACTCTTAACTCTATGCAGGTGATTGGAGCTGTGGGGTTCATGAACCAGAGGCTGGAAATTCCAAAGGACATTGATCCACTTTGGATCTCATTAATTGAAAGCTGTTGGCACAGGTAAGCTTAACATATTGATGATTACCACATAATCCTTGCTAATATGGTTCTTCTCATATTTGTTTGTTCTGCCACTACAGCGATGCAAAGCTGAGATCCACATTCCAAGAGCTGACGGAGAAGCTAAAAGATCTGCAAAGGAAGTATACGATACAGTTGCAAGCTACTTGTGCTGTCTTGCTTGACAACTCGTCCCTCAAGGACAACTAAACAAAATGTGTACTCTTTTGTTCCTCAAGGCACCGCTTTGAGACTGAAAGATGTTCATGAAAGTAGAGAATTGGTGATTTTGACATGATTGCGAATTAATTTGAATTTAAGTTTATTTTGCGTGCTAAGCAACTGCCACTGTTCAGATAGTATTCACTCAGCTACATACTCTCAAATCTCACACACACACACACTAAAGAACTTGATGGTATTGGTCCATCATAGAGGATATTGTTGCAGCAACTGCATGGCCTTTGTGCTAGAAACATGGTCAAGTTACAGTGACATCTCCATTAGGTAGCTGGCTTTGGTCTTTCACGTGTCAAGCATGAGACATACTTAACCACTAAGTCTGGTAAGGGAACGGTACTAAAAGCTTTGCTCTTTTCGATTTGAGTCGTCAAACGTCTAACAATGATCCTTGAATTGCTTTCTTTAAATGAGTCTGCTGATGAAAAGTATTTTATGTTTCGTTAAGTTTCCTTTGATTAAAATTGTTCTTCCGAGCCTTGTATGCTAACTAGGTCCTCTTAATTCATTGATACAGGTGTGATATTGCCACCCGACGAAAAGAAAGTGTTTCCATGAAGAGATGCTTAATTTGAAATAGTATAATTCATGAACCAGAGGCTAGAAATTCCAAAGGACATTGATCCTCTTTGGATCTCACAGAGTCTATTGACTAAATGATACAGATGGTGGCAGATGGAGTTCACTACAGATGATCCTCTTTGGCACAGGTTAGCTCAACATATTGATTACCGCATAATCCTCTGTTAGAAAAATATATACAGTATATAACCTTTTTAATTAGTATTACGGTTCTCATTGATTTAGATGTTCTACATATTTTGACAGCTAATGCTTGACATTAATCTTCTTTTTTTGGTTTCTTTGTCCAACACTGCAGAGATACAAAGCTCAGACCCACATTCCAAGAACTGTTGGAGAAGCTAAGAGATCTGCATGGAGGTTAAAGGGGCTGGTTTATAAGTAATTATTACGGATTTTTTATTAATCTGCCCATTTTCCAAAGAGCAGTTGATAAATAGTTATCATCAAGCTTTGTGATATAGAAATCCAGAGTAATTTAACTATAGCTTAAAAACAAAAAACAAAGAAGTAAACATCAAAACCAGATAAAAAATCCTAAAATAAAAAGTGGAGGAAAGAAACCGTCGACTCACACAATGTACCAATATGCAATGCTTGGACCTGAGTGTTTTGGTCGTAGGAAGAACACATATAAATGCCAGAAAGACAAAGTAACCATAAGAGGAAGAGTGTGGCCAAAGTATGTCTAGTCTCCGCCAACGACGAGATCAAACGTTGAGGAATCCTCTCTATTTCTGTAGTGAACTCCTTGTAGGAATGTGACAGAGCATCACTACGTAGAATGTTGTGGCACTCACAGTACAGTCTCTGAAGAACCGAGACTTTGATGATTAAAAATTGTCTCCATGTGGAGAGAGAAGACCGATTGATATGGCTTGGGCCAAGAGCGAGACCACAGTCATCATGAACCATATTTCTCTGCTTACAATCACATCTCTTTCACTCATAATTTTCTTCATTCTCTTTCCTCGGCTTTATGGGTTTTTGAGACTTAATACAGATAAGGAAGTAGGGTTTTCGATTAAGTATCAGGGAGTTAGATTTTTTTTTTTTTTTTTTTTTTGGTCAAAGTATCAGGGAGTTAGATTATATATATATNTAGATTTTTTTTTTTTTTTTTTTTTTGGTCAAAGTATCAGGGAGTTAGATTATATATATATACTGGTTCATGTGCAAGATTTTCGATAATCTCAACTAATTTCTGCAAATCTTTGACAGTTCTTAGAGCAAGTTTATCCCTTGATTAGTTAAAAAAATTTAATTTTGAGTCTGTTTATTAGAATTTTCTTAATTAGAGATTCTTAAAAAAAACTAAATTAATTTTTTTACTAAATAAAACATATTAAAAGATAACATTTAAAACATATATTATTAAAAACAAAAATTAGTACACATAATTTTCTTTTTTAAAATTGAAACACGAAAGTGATTATTACAGCATCTCTCATCTTGCCGCCATTGTCTCCACCATCATCATCTACGTCTGAAATATAAACTCTATGACAATCCGCATCTGAAAAAGACATCCTTTGCTAGAACTATCTTTGCTAATAGTCTGAAGAAGAATGAGCAGAGATGAAAGCCATGTCGATGAAGTATATTGTTCGCATATTTCAACGGAAAAAGCATACTCCCGCTCACTCTTAACATGGAATATAAAATTTTCTGAATTCTGGACATTACTAAGCCAGCTGAGTCTTTCCTTGAAATCAAGGATCATCATTCAGTATTTTCAGAGAAAACACACAAAAGCCTCAATCAATTTTATTTATCTACACATTATCTCAGTTGTGAGGTTTGGTCAAGCCCATCAAACGTGTTTAATTTGGGTCAGCTTACACAAATTATGCACAGACAACTTATGGACCTAATCATTAAAGTCCATTAGGTTAAATGCTAACAATATAAAGAATGAGAGATCACGACAGAGATCTCTAAGCACAAGCCAAACCTCTGGGAGGTTGAAACCTCAAGCCTAAGAGGAGTGCTTCCATGAGCTCTTAGCCAAGTAATCTCTTGTATTATCTCTTGTATACTCTCTAGGATTTGTATACCTAGAACATAAAGAATAATGATCTTGTAAACCACATCGAAGGTGTTTTCCGATACTTCATAGTGGATGTTGTGGGTCTCTGAATCCATGCCAGAGATAACGGTGTGGCCGTGAACTGGGTGAACAATTCTTGAGTCATGAACAATATAAAAGAATCGTAGTAGTAGGGCCAGAGACAATGCTATAAAGAGTTTAGCTTCTAACTGGGTACCCATAACCTTACATCAGTAGGAGCGCAGACTCATCGATTCATAGAGTCCATGTCTTGAGGAGGAGAGACATATGAAAAAGTTTCCTAGCGATACATAAGAATCGCAAGGTTCAATGAAATATGCAGTGCAAGTAAAGACATACACACTCTAAACCCAACAACCTTGTACTCAACGTATATGCAGCCATTGGATCTCTCTACTTGGACCTTCTAGCTGAAAGTGGAATTTTAAATAAGCAAGAGATAGATGAAATAGTCTAGATTGGTGATCTTAGAACATGATTATCGGTGGTGGGAGGGAGATTCTTATGTGTGCACCCCACTATTTTTTGCAAAATTATTTTTTAATGTCACCAAATAAAAAATGTTTTTCATGGGTCTTTTGTCTTGTTTGCAGACCCCATTGCCTGCAATTGGTTCATTTTTAATTTTTTTAAAAAAAATCAGAAGAACAAAAATTTAAGAACCCTAAAAATGTTTCTACCGATAATGATGTCTTAACGGCCTCTTTGTCCTTGCTAGATCTATCGGTCAATTCAGGTAACTCTCGTAACCAAACATCCATATTATTCTTTAAGCAAGCTGGTACTGTTTGATTCTCATGTTGTGAATAAATTCAACCAGCATATATTGAAGCAGCCACTATACCGACACCCACGGGAAGATGTCTTGTACACCAAGTATCAATTCGTCAGCTAGGCTTAAATTTTCTTCTTTTTATGTACTTTCTCAGGATTATCTGATAACTCTCTAGTTACTACACCCCAAGTTTTCTTTGTTTAAAATCTACAAGAGTCAATGTCACCTTAACAAGTTTGCATTTATTATTAGTTCAAAAGAAAAAAAGTTTTGCATTTATTAAGGAAGAACATGTGATATCAGCAAGAAGAAAAGTGAGGATGCATATTTGAAAATGTGGGAGTTAGTTGCTGATTCTTTGGCCGACATGTATGAGTCTTGAAAAGCGAATGTCACGTTGGAATAAATGAGGCGGTGCGGTCGCATTAATAGATTTCAGTTTTCACGTAGTAAAATATATTTAATTGGTTGGACTTGTTTAATAGATGATAACGTTACTTTGATAATTAACAGTACGTTCAAATTCGGTTAGTGCATATGAGAGAGATATATGATAATATGACGATAGAAACAGATAATGGCATGAAAGTAGACTAGTATGCTATAGTTAATGTCCATGCATGCATGGTTAGATCAGCATCAATATAATCACTAACTTACGTGTAAATCCAGCACTATATGTATAAATTGCTTTGGATCTTTGCTTATCGAATCTTTTATTACGTATTATGATCTCTATTTTTTTTGTTGTTGTGTGACTGATTGTAGTTTTGGCTATTAATATCTGCCTATCCAACTAAATTGTCGACGAGTATTTATTGTCGAGTGCCAATAAAAATCGAACCGGAGATGTGTTCTGTCTCCCTCTCTAAGGTCCGCTTCAACGTCGCAATGGAGATTCCACCAACGAAGGAGCTACTAATGAAGATGCTAGAGCTAGAGAAGAGTCACGAGCGCCTAAAGCAGGAGATGTGTAGGCTCAAGGCCGTATCCACAGCACTTGATCGTTCGGCGAAGAGAAACATCGCCCAGGGAGCTCTAGCGTTGAGGAAGAGCTGCACCGAGTCGTTTCGGAAAGGGAACCATATCCAGGACACGATCAGTCTAGAAGCTGGAATAGGTGGAGGAATAGGACCATCGGCAGGGAAGTTCACCAATCAACAGTATTTGAACATGCTTCTGTCGATGGGCCAATCTGTTCATGTCTTCGATCTAAAAATGCGAATTATATTTTGGTAAGTATTAAATATACCACATCCGGAACAAGAGTAGTTCTTGGATAGTATATAATTAATTGATGTGATAATCTTATATTCTTGAAGTAGTTTTAAGATGTGAGATAGGTCTATTACTAATAGTGATGATATTGTTTACTCGTGACGTGGTTCTAGGCAGGGCCGGTACTAGGCTAAAGTAGGCTAAAGTTCGCAAAGCCCATACTTTAGGCGCTAAAATATGTTATATATTAAAAGGGAAACACAAATTTAGAAAATGGTTATGGTGTAATGGTTGAAACCTAGCTTAGAATCCTCAAGAGGCAGGATCGATACCTGTTTTTAACAATTTTGAAGATAACACATTTTATACTTGGACTTAAAATATTTTGGTTCGGCTCTGCTTCCAGGAATGCCATGGCGGAAAAGCAATTTGGATACTCAGCTGCAGAAGCAGTTGGACAGGACCCAATTAATGTTATGGTAGATGATCATGATGCCGCCTTCGCAATGAACATTACTCAACGTTGTTTCAATGGAGAGAGCTGGACCGGTGAGTTTCCTGTCAGAAGTAAATCAGGGCATAAATTTTCAGCTGTCAGTACGTGTTCCCCATTTTACGATGATGATGGTTCTCTTATTGGAATCATTTCTATCACAAGTAAATCAGCGTCGTATCTGCACCCTGTAATCTCTTTGGCTAAGTTAAAGTCAAAAGAAGGTGAAACAAACTCTAGCCCTGGAAGGAGTAGTTTTGTATCTAAAGGATCAAAGATATCAGATTTGGTTAGTACCATTTTCTTAGGTTTGTATGTATTCTGTCACCTTTTATTTTGATGACTAGTGTTAAAAGTATAGCAATAGAATAAGAAAACACAGAGAAGATTGCTGAATGATTTCTCTTATTAAACACTTGAAAGCAATACATGACTTAAATAGAAAAGGAAACAACTACTAAGCGTAAAAGACTCAACGTCTCACCACTACGATCCTAAGAAATAGGATTACTTATTCAGCAAGAAAATAAACAAACTTAATCCTAAAGACTCGGANAGATTGCTGAATGATTTCTCTTATTAAACACTTGAAAGCAATACATGACTTAAATAGAAAAGGAAACAACTACTAAGCGTAAAAGACTCAACGTCTCACCACTACGATCCTAAGAAATAGGATTACTTATTCAGCAAGAAAATAAACAAACTTAATCCTAAAGACTCGGAACTTCCACATGACCAAGTCTAAGCTTCAATCCCTCCCTTAAACTGCAAACACTCTGTTTCAGTTTATTTTTCCTTCATGCCAACGCCCATCATCTTTCTAAGCTTCTCAAACACATCAAGCTTCACTGGCTTAGTCATTATATCCGCTATCTAATCTTGCGTTGAGCAATAATCCATGTTAATCACTTCTGTACTGACCAGTTCACGCAAGAAATGGTATCTCACGCTTATGTGCTTGCTTCTACCATGTAGGACCGGATTTCTCGAAAGCTTGATTGCAGAACTGTTATCACAGAACAAAGTGATGCCTTTGTCTTGAACCAACCCAATTTCACCAAGCACGTTTCTCAGCCAGACCGCCTGACAGGCTCCATATGCAGCAGACACATACTCCGCTTCTGTCGTGGATAGTGTCACTATTGGTTGCTTCTTTGATGCCCAAGACACTGCTCCTCCACTCCACATGAAGGCATACCCTGAAGTGCTCTTTCTGTCATCTTCATCACCAGCATAATCACTATCCACAAACCCAACCAAGCTTGATTCTCCACCTCTCTTGTACTGGATGCCGAACTCTCGTGTTCCCTGCACATACCTCAAGATCCTTTTTGCAGCTGCTAAGTGTTGTTCACTCGGCTTCTCCATGTATCTACTTACTAGATTGACTGAGTAGATCAGGTCAGGTCTCGTGGCTGTCAAGTATCTGAGGCTTCCAACGAGTTGCTTGAATGATGTAGGATCAACACTCGCTCCACTTCCTTCTTTAGTCAATCTGATACCAGTCACCATCGGGTTTCTTACTGCATTACAATCCTCCATGCCAAACTTCTTAAGCATATCCTCAGCATACTTCTTTTGGCAAATAAAAATTCCAGCTTCATCTTGAATCACTTCCACGCCTAAGAAATATTTCATCCTTCCAAGATCTGTCATTGCAAACTCTTCTTCCATGGAATTCTTAAATCTCTTTAGAAGTTCAGTAGAGTTGCTTGTGTAAATCAAATCATCAACATAAAGACTAATGATAAGAATACCTTCCTCCTCAGTCTTTATGAACAAAGTGTGTTCGCAGTAACACTTCTTGAACCCTTCCTTGACAAAATACCCTTCAATCCTACTATACCAAGCTCTTGGAGCTTGTTTTAAGCCATACAAAGCTTTGTTCAGCTTGTACACCTTCCCTTCTTCTCCTCTGCATTCAAAGCCCTTAGGTTGCTGAACAAAAACATCCTCACTTAATTCCCCATGCAGAAATGCACTCTTCACATCAAGTTGGTTAACAACCCACCCTTGTTGAGCCGCCAAACCAAGAAGCAGCCTTATAGTCTCCCACCTTGCAACAGGGGCAAAGACTTCATAAAAATCTACTCCATGTGTCTGATGAAAGCCCTTAGCAACCAGCCTTGCTTTGAACTTATCGATGTCTCCCTTCTCATTAAACTTGGTTTTGAAAACCCATTTGACACCAATTACCTTTGCTCCATTAGGTAAGTCCACGAGTTCCCACGTGTTGTTGTCGTTGATAGCTTTTATCTCTGCCTCCATTGCTTGTCTCCATTTTTCGTGTCTTGCTGCTTCCTCAAACGTGTCTGGATCATCTTCTCCAACAAACAGTGCCATGAACTCACCCTCGTTTTCTTCAATGATCATACTCAGCCCTTCACATACATAGTCCTTCATCCAACTTGGCTTTTGTGTGTTCCTGCCAACTCTGCTGATCCCTGATCCTCCACTCAAGCTCGACTGTCCTTCTTCATTTGATGGTATCACGGCTTCCGTAGAGTCTGGACCAGTTTCTACATCTGTACCAGCAGCGTCTCTCTCTCCAAGTGTCTCTTCTTCTTCGTCACTCCCTGTTTGTGACGCTTCTCTACCCCCAGCCTCCGGTGTTTGATGTTCTTCCTCCGTTGTGTCCACCAAGATAACGTTGTCTCCACTTTCTTCTTCCCAGCTCCACTGTTTTCCTTCATCAAATCTCACATCTTTGCTGATTATGATCTTCTTGGTTGTAGGATCATAAAGTCGATATGCCTTTGGCTCTTTACTCACCCCAAACATCACACACTTTATACTCTTCTCTTCTAGTTTCGTTCTTTTCTCATATGGCACCAAAGCATATGCAAGACACCCAAATACCCTGAGATGTTCCACGGTTGGCTTGTGTTGGCTCCACTTCTCTGATGGTGTTACTTTGTCTAGTATCATCGTTGGACTGCGATTTAGAATGTGGACCGCGTACTGTGTTGCCTCTGGCCAAAACCTCAATGGAACCTTCATCCCAAACAACATACACCTCACCATATTCATCACACTTCTGTTTTTTCTCTCTGCAATTCCATTTTGTTGAGGTGTATAGGCAGCAGTGAGCTGTCTTTTGATACCATTCTCAATGCAGAAGTCTTGAAAGGCTTTGGAGTTGTACTCACCTCCTCTATCAGTTCTCAGACACACCAACAGCTCCCCTGTTTCTCTTTCTGCAGCCACTTTGAATTCTTTGAACACTCTAAGAGCCTCTGATTTTTCTGCAAGAAAGTATGTCCAACACTTTCTACTGAAATCATCAATGAAGTTTATGATATACCTCTTTCCACTCTCTGAGATTGGTGAGATCGGACCGCAGATGTCACTGTGTACCAGTTCCAAGTTCCTCTTTGATCTCCATTCACTGTGCTTCGGTATGTTAGTTCTGTTTTGTTTCCCCTTCATACAAACTTCACAGACAGCTCCGGTATTTGTGATCGCAGGTAGACCCTCAACCATTCCTTTTCCAGCAAGTGTAGCTAGGCTATTGAGACTGAGATGTCCAAAACGCTTATGCCAAATTTCTTCTGGTGTCTCTTCAGAGTTGCGAACTTGATTTGCCTCCAAATACTCCTTAGATTCCTTCACAGTTGCTGAGATGACAAACATGCGATTTACTGACATCTTGGACCGCATGATGAACCTTTTTGTAGTTTATGCCAAACCTTGCATTCATTGTCCTCAATGATAATCTTTAGGCCTTTCTGCTGCAACTGCCCCACGCTCAAAAGATTGTTTCTCAGCCCCGGTACGAAGTAGACAGATGTGATGACTTGTACGATACCCTCAATCTCCAGTCTCAGGTCTCCCTTTCCTTCTACTTGCATTCTCCTATCATCTCCCAGCTTTACATGTTGTCTGAAGCTTTCATCGAAGTTTGCGAACCATCCTTTGTTTCCACACATATGATTCGAGCAGCCTGAGTCCAGATACCACATCAACTCTATCTCTTCGTCGACTTGCGCCATGAGAAGCACATCTTCTTCTAATTCTGCGTAGTTGGCTGCTCTCTCCCACATGGGGCATTCATTTTTAAAATGACCAAGCTTGTGGCATTTGTAGCACTCCACATTGCTTTTGTCAAAGCTTGCGCCACCTCTGCCACCTCTTCCTCCCCTGTAGCTTCCTCTTTCTCTTCCATAACCGCTACGTCCTCTGCTTGCTTCCATTCTTAGAGCCCTTTCCTCTCCATCATGCTTGCTGAGGTTTTGTTCGTGTACAAGCAATGAGCTTTGTAACTCATCTACAGTCAGCTCCTTGATATCTTTAGACTCCTCAATTGCACACACCACATACGTAAACTTCTCCACCAGCGTTCTGAGTATCTTCTCCACGATCTTATCATCAGGCATCTCTTCTCCCAGGTTCCTCATATCATTGGCCATCATCATAACTCTAGAAAAATACTCCGTGATGGAGTCCCCTTCTTTCATCTCCAAAACCTCAAAGTTCCTTCTGAACCTTTGAAGCTGAGCGCTTTGAACTCTTTTGTTTCCTTGGTACTTCACCTTCATAGACTCCCAAATATCTTTTGCAGTATCCTTCTTCGCGATGGTTTTAAGGATTGTTTTGTCTATGGATGCAAAGAGATAATTCTTCGCCTTCAAGTCCTTTAGTTTCTGCTCTGCAGCCTCTGTCTGTTGTGCTTCCGTCAACGCTACGTCTCTCTCCGGTTGTGCAATCCCATCCTCAACAATCTCCCACCATTCCTTCGATCTTAATAGATTCTCCATGAGCATAGCCCAATGCTCATAATCACCATCGAATTTTGGTATGCTTAGCGATGCATCCTTCTCACCCATCTTTTCTCACACACACGAGTTTGTTTCTTTGTTAGAAAAAACAGGCTCTGATACCACTTATAGCAATAGAATAAGAAAACACAGAGAAGATTGCTGAATGATTTCTCTTATTAAACACTTGAAAGCAATACATGACTTAAATAGAAAAGGAAACAACTACTAAGCGTAAAAGACTCAACGTCTCACCACTACGATCCTAAGAAATAGGATTACTTATTCAGCAAGAAAATAAACAAACTTAATCCTAAAGACTCGGANAGATTGCTGAATGATTTCTCTTATTAAACACTTGAAAGCAATACATGACTTAAATAGAAAAGGAAACAACTACTAAGCGTAAAAGACTCAACGTCTCACCACTACGATCCTAAGAAATAGGATTACTTATTCAGCAAGAAAATAAACAAACTTAATCCTAAAGACTCGGAACTTCCACATGACCAAGTCTAAGCTTCAAAAAGTCACAGGCATCCAAGGTGAGCAACACGGCCAGATCGAAAATGCGAGCAGG